CCTAATATAAACAGAGTCATACAATAAATGTTTTTGTGGCTGGTTAAGTTCACTGAGCATAATGTCTTCAGGGTGCATCCAGGCTGTAGCATATGTCAGAATTTTCTAACTTTTAAAAAGAAATTTTTTTTCTTCCTTTTTAAAGTACGTAATATTCCATCGTATGTGTAGACCACATTTTTTCCTATATTATTTTTCTTGCTTTGACATTTTGGCCATTGTGAATAATGCTGATATGAACACAGTTGTCCAGTGGATGAAGGTGGCAGCCTTGCAGCGAGTGGCCGAGACCAGTTCCCCTGACCTCAGAGGTCCCTTTTTTTTTTTTTTTTTTTTGCGGTACGCAGGCCTCTCACTGCCTTGGACTCTCCCGTTGCGGAGCACAGGCTCCGGACGCACAGGCTCAGCAGCCATGGCTCACGGGCCCAGCCGCTCCGCGGCACGTGGGATCTTCCCGGACCAGGGCACGAACCCGTGTCCCCTGCATCAGCAGGCGGACTCTCAACTCTGAGCCACCAGGGAAGCCCAGAGGTTCCTTTTTATTAATTCCACTGGCCTGTCTTCTAGCCTCTCAGGAGTATATAACATATTGCAGTTTACAAGGGGCTTTTACACACTTTGTTTCATTTTAATCCTCACATTAGCCGTCAGGGGTTGTTACTACCCATTACTATTTCTCACATGAGCCCACTGAAGCTCAGAGAACAGAAATGACTTGCCCAAAGTAAGCAAAACTTAGAAGCAGAACCAGAACTGGCCCCAGCCCAGCCCTGTGCCAGATCCCAGGGCTGCCTCCCCCCAGAGAAGGGCCTGCGTCCTAAACAGGCCCTGCAGTTGTACTCTCAGAACTGGTGAAACACCACGCACTTTATCTAACGCCACCCCCCAGTGTTCCAGGCCACTGGCTGCAGAGGGCCATTCAATTTTGTCTGCAGTCGACTGTGCACAGACCGAGCGACCCCGGGAGGTCAGTCTATGAACCACAGGCATCAAACTGCAGAGCAGGGATCCTACTCTCCCTGCATCCCTGGCAGTCACCACGGAGCGGGGCCCAGAAAGAGAGGAATTGCGTGGTGCCCAGCAGTGAGGTAGGGACTCTCTAGTGTCAAAAGGGTCTTTTTCATTATTTTTTAGATCTCGGGCATAATCCTCACAAGAGCCCCATGAAACAGGTGTTCTTATGCTTATTTATGGAGAGGAATCGGAGGCCCAGGAAAGGGAAATGACTTGCCTGTCATCACAAACCAGTGAATCCCAGAACAGGAACCAGAAAGCTCTCTACCTCTAAATGACCTTGCAGTAAACTCCAGGTCCCACTTGACCTTCCCCCAAGGTGAAGGCAGCTAGGCAGCCCCGTGTAGCTATTCCACACAAAGCGTGTACTGAGCAGCTGCTGCATGCACACCCGGCCCCAGCCCCAGACGTCAGTGCGCTGTAAACCAGCAGAGCAGACACATGGCCCACAGCCTCTCGCCCTGGGGGCGCCCTCCCGCTCAGCCCCGTGCCCCATTACAGGCCTTCAGAGTTGGCTCTCAGCAGTTGAAGCCCTGCTGCCACCCGGGCCCACATGACTCCTCGAGCCCCTCCTCCCCCAGCATCTCAGCCCCAGGTTCTCTGGATGTGTTTGTGGGTCAGTGTCTTCACTCGTCCAACCTTGAAAAGCAACCCAGGGCCACTCGTGCGAGGAGCTAGGAGGTTAGTCCCCGCAGAGGTACACCCCGCACTACAGCGCAGCCTCCCAATTGGCCCTCCAGGTGGAGGCCAGGCCGCAGCTGGATCAGTGGGAAAGGAGGAGGACGGGTAGCCTTAGTGTCCACTTCTCTCACAGCCAACAATGCCTGACAGTTGTTCCAGGAAACTGAGCCAGGTGCGGTAAGAATGGGTGCCCCTGAGGTTGAGTCTGTTGTGGCCATAGGCCCCCAAAAACCAGGCGAGCTTGTCCAGCCTAGAGGAGAGCTTGGTCTGCCCAGGTGTCTTAAGACTCAGCGGCTGCCGGCGTTCCCCTGTGTAGGCCCTGGAGCCAGGGCCTACAGCTCTGCCTCTGTAAGCCGGGCGGCAAGCCCAGCAGCCGGAGCCTAGGGTGGGATGAGACGAGCTCATTGCTGAGGCCCCGGGGGCGCCGGCGAAGCCCAGCTCTGCAGCCTGGGCTCTGACGCAGAGCCACGCGGTCTTGCCCCAGGAGGTGAGACCCACTCTGCTGTGTTTGCTTTTCAGACAAGTGATGGAGCAGCAGCGCCAGGAGTCTCTAGAGAGAAGAGCCTCAGCCACAGGTGAGAGTTTCCCCTACCTGTGCCCGCTGGCGCCCCTTCACTAGATGGTGCCCAGGGACACACTGGGAGTGCTGTGACCAGCTGCTGGTCGCACAGCCCTCAGAGCGTGACAGCCACGCTCGGTGAACGTGGGGAAACGAGGGAACAGAGCACGGGTGCAGGGATTAGCTCAGCTTGGCCCAGCCCTGCCCACCGGCCTCTGGTCCTCCCCCGACTCATGCCCTGAGTAGACCGTGTCTCAGGCCCTGTACTAAGGGCTGAGGACACACCGGTGGGCGAGGTGGATGCACCCCCTGCCCCAGGGAGCTGACTGTCCAGTCAAGGACACAGACTAATGACCCTGGATCACTGCGGGGCACATGCAGTTACCAAGTCAGTGCAGGGGTGGAGGCACATGGAGGGGGCCCCAGCTGCCCTGGGGGTCAGAGAAGACCCCAGGGGAGGGGTGGCTTCAGTCCTGAACAGTGACTGGAACTCAGCACAGTTAAGCAGAGGGGTTTTCTGGAAAAGGGTGATGTTGATTAGTACGCATGGGACTTCATAACTTACAAAGTACTTTCACGTCCTTCGTTTCACTTAATTCTCTCGAGCCCTGTGAAGTAAGCAGGTGAATGTTTCCCTGTCTTACTGATGAGGACACCGGGCCCCAGCTGGTTGCAGAAGCCCCCGCTGGTGGGGATGCTGTCTGGTGCCGCCCCCTCTCAGGCTGCTGCACCCCTCCGGCTCCTGCCCCGCTCTGCCCCACCCCTGCGTTACTAATGTGGGTCTCACCCTGTCACCGGGTCACCCTTCTCCATCACTCCTGAACAACCTGGGTCCTTGGCACGGGCTCCAGGTGTGCAGGCCCCGTCCCCGCAGACCCGCTGCCCTGCACACTCCCTCCCGGTGGCTCCTTCAGTTCCCGCAGGGCCTCCTCACCCCTCGCGCTCACTCACCCTTCACCAAACGTCACTCCCGCTCTTCTGTCCTGTCCCAGCACAGTCACTGCTTCCCTAAGGAAGCCTTCCACGGACTTCTGGTCAGGTTGGAGCGTCTCCTCATAGGCCAAGGTGGCACTGTGCGCCTGCTCTTGGTGGCACTTGTCACCCTGCCGCGGGGACAGTTCTGCATTCATCCGTGTGATTGGTTTGCTGCTACCAGGCCATGAGCACCATGAGCAGGGAGCCTGTGGCCGTTTGTCCCCAGCGCCCTGCACGGGGCCAGGCCTGCAGCGGAGGCTCGGGCGTTGGATGGTGGGCGGGGGACAGGGGACTGCCCAGCACGCAGCAGTGCTCCTGGACAGATGCCCCGGTCTGCCCTGCGACCCGCAGCTGCCTGCTGCCATCCCCAGAGGCCAAGGGGCAGTCACAGCTGTATCTTGGTGACTAACAATTGCTGATGCCTAGGGGGGTGCTAGGAGCTGAGGAGAAACAGAGAAGGAAAAAAAAGACACAATTTGTGCCACCAAAGAGCTTCTTGTCCCACTGGAAGACCACAGTTGAGCAAGAGAAGGTTAGCGTAGCTCAAGGGCTGCTAAGCAAGTATGTGACGCTGGGTCCAGCCCGGCCCCTGAATGTAGGGAGAGACTGGAACAATGCCAGGTGCATCCCGTGGGGGCTTCCTGGAAGAGGCCACCTTGAGCTGTTCCTCATCCCTCAGGGGAGTAGGCTACCCTCTGTCCCTGCTCCCGGGGAGGCGCCCGCTGGGGGCTGGGCACTCACTGAGCCCACTATTGTTTCAGGACCCACCCTCCCAGCGGGGCACCCCTCCGCTGCAGCCGGCGCCCCCCTCTCGTGTAGCGGGCCTCCACCCCCACCCCCACCCCCTGTCCCGCCTCCACCCACAGGGGCCGCCCCCCCTCCCCCGCCCCCCCTGCCAGCCGGAGGAGCCCAGGGCGCCAGCCACGACGAGGGCTCCGTGTCTGGCCTGGCCGCCGCCCTGGCTGGGGCCAAGCTGAGAAGAGTCCCGCGGGTAAGTGTCCCGGGCCCTGGCGGGCAGGCGGGCAGGGAGGACCAGGCTGGGGGACAGGTTTCTAACTGGCAGAGGGGCGGACCCTTTCCCACTGGCAGGGAGTGCAGCGCCACCCTCCCCAGCCAGACGGCACCTCCCACCACCTCCTCAGTCACAGTTACCCGGTTACTGAGACCACTGGGAGAGGGCTGCGTGAGAGCCGTAGGTGCCTCCAGTTACGTAACCTGCTGCTGGTCCTTTACAAGCGAGGCAGGAGATCTCTGCCCTTGTAGATGAGGAAACCGAGGCGCAGGCACAAACAACTTGTTCAAAGCACGCAGGTCATCAGTTGCGGTTTGGACTCAGGCCCTGGGTCTCCTGCATTTAAGTCCACCAGCTCCCTCAGGCTCAGCTGGCCCTCCCAGCCTTCCGCAGCATCCTGGGAGGTGGGGCTTCTAGAAGCCCGTTCATGTGGCTGTGGGATTAGGAGCACCTGGGACACGGAACTGTGCGTCCTCCCCCCTCAAACCACGCTGGCCTTGGCAAGGGTGCTGACCGTGAGCCAGCGAACCTGGGGCATGCCTGCCAACCGTGACCCTCCAGTCCCGGTCGCTCTCTGGACTCCAGCTCTGCCGCCAGCAGGTGGGGTCGGGGGACTAGATGGCCTCGACCTCTTCCAGCACTGCCATCACACGTGGCCCCGTCTCCCCTCGAGTGGCGTCCTGCCACGGACACCAGACCGAAGCGCGCCGCCCTCTCCCCTTAGCCAGAAGATGCGTCCGGAGGCTCCAGTCCCAGCGGGACCTCGAAGTCTGACGCCAGCCGGGCGAGCAGTGGGGGTGGAGGAGGAGGCCTCATGGAAGAAATGAACAAGCTGCTTGCCAAGAGGTGAGTGCTTAGGCTCCCAGACCCAGCCACTGCCAGGAGCTGCTGTTCCTCCGTGGGGAGGGGAAGCCTCGCCTGGCTCCAGGGCCCACTGTGCGCTGGGCTCAGCCAATCTGGGGGGCCTGTTCGTCGAGCTTTCCCTTCTCCAGGGCTCAGTCTGAGACATCAAGCCAAAAGGAGTCCTCTAAACTCTAAATCCTTCCTCATTTCAGTTTAACAAGGATTTGTTGAAACATCTGCCATGTATCAGCCTTGTTCTGAGCAGAGAGAAATTTGGAGATCATTTCAGAGATAAATTCCAAGGGAAAAGAGGAGTATGCCCAGTGGTGAACATATGATGAAGGGGCCCGTCCTGTGGGGGCCCTTACAGAGGACTCAGGAGAAGGGGTGCTGAGGTGGCAGGAGCCCAGAGGACGTTACCCCTCAGGGACGGAGCAGCAGTTCCCTCCCCGTCGTGCTCAGCAGCTCTGCGGCCTCCGCCTCCATCCTCACCAGCACGTGTGCCTCCAGCTTGCCCAAGGCCATCAGCCTATCACTACGGCTCTTCACTGTTCCTCAACTGAATCCCAGGCAGATGGAGAGATCAGACAGCTCCCTCTCAGAAGGGTCGCAAAAGCTCGGGTCTTACTTGTAAATGTGGTGTGGCAGCGGGAATGCCCCGATGGGGTTCCCAGGGCCATGGCTCACCCGGGCACCAGAGGACCCAGGAGTGGGCCTCACCTGTCAGCACGCTCCTTGTTGCCCAAGAAAAGCAACGGCGTGGGCCTTGCCCCCCCATGACCCCTCCTGCCTTCTCTCAGTCTCCAGGCTCTTCCCGCTGCCCCCATGGCGGCTGACCCCAGGCAAGCGCTTTCTGTGCCGGGTCTTTGGTAAACCCACACGGCCCTGCAAGGGCACGGGGGAGACAGAGGCCCGCAGAGTGCAGGTAGCTGGTCTGGCACATCTCGGCGGGGCCGGCCCAGGGCCCTGTGTGCCCAGCAAGGGAGGGCACAGGGGGAGGGGAGCAGCCAGGTGGGTCCACGTGCCGTGACTAGAGGTGAGCCGGCGACTGCGGCCGGACAGTGCAGAACAGCTCCAGGGAGCCAGGGTGCTTCACGGAGGAGGTTCGAGAGTGTTCTGTGCAGAGGAGGAGCAGAGGTGGGTGTGGTGGGTGGAGTCACACTATCTGGAGAGGCTGAGACACGCGCCCCCCACCCCCGCCCCCCGCCAGAGCCCAGGGCCTGGAGGAGGTGGATCAGAATGCAGGCTAGAGGGGAGAGCTTCGTGTGCACGTACGCTAGAGTCCATTCCAGGGGGCCTCGCATAAAAATAGAAGATTCTTTAAAAAAGGAAGTGTTCACACTCTCCCTAAGTCCAACACCAATGTGTTCCCAATAACTGCTTGGCCTAGATGGTTTAGACCAAACAGAGAGGAAGTTTCCGAGAACAGGAAAAGGCCGGTGTGCCAGGAGCCAGTGAGACGCCAGAAGCTGGTGGCAGAGCCGGGCCCCCCGAGAGCACTCACCCTGCACGACCGGCAAGGGGCGGCCACGCTGCTCTCTGAAGCCCACCTCGGCGCGCAGGATGCTGGGTGGAGCCTACAAGGAGATGCGCGCGAGGGCTGCTTTTTTGCTTTTTTTTTTTTTTAAAGAAGATCTCTACTTCCACTTTGTACAGACAGCTAATTCTCTATCTTAATCAGCTTGCGATGCTATAAAAAAAATCATGATGCATGGCTTATAAACAGAATTTTATTTCTCACAGTTCTAGAGAAGTCCAAGGCTACGGCACTGACAAATGCAGTGTCTGGTGAGAGCTCACTGCCTGGTTCATAAATGGCCATCTCTTTGCTGTGTCCTCACATGGTGAAAGGAGCAGGGAGCTCCCTGGGGTCTCTCTTATTTATTTATTTATTTTTGGCTAGGGTCTTGTTAAAGCCCTTTTTTTAAAAAAAAAAAATTAGGGTATAGATGTTTTACAATGTTGTGTTAGTTTCTACTCTACAGTGAAGGGCAGTTCCCAGTGCCATACAGCAGGTTCTTATTAGTTATCTGTTTTATACATATTAGTGTATACATGTCAGTCCCAGTCTCCCAATTCATCCCACTCCCACTTCTCCCCTTGGTGTCCATACGTTTGTTCTCTACGTCTTTGTCTCTGTTTCTGCCTTGCAAACAGGTTCGTCTGTACCATTTTTCTATATTCCACATATATGCGTTAAGATACGATATTTGTTTTTCTCTTGCTGACTTACCTCACTCCGTATGACAGTCTCTAGGTCCGTCCATGTCTACATGTCTACAGTGACCACGTAGACCATGTCTACAAATGACCCCATTTCGTTCCTTTTCTTTAGGGCTTCTTTTTCTTACCTGTCAAACAGGCATAGTAACAGAGCTTAGCTGATCAAAGATCCTTGCGGAGTCGCTGCCTCCTCAGGTGCTGAGGCCTGTCCCGGCAGTGGACCAGGCGGGGGAACCGTGTCGCTGGGAGCTGCTCGATGCCGAGCGTGTCCACAGACACTCAGCCCAGGGAATCTTCACAGGCCTGGAGGGGCCTGGTCTGCTGGGTATCCTTAAAAGATTAAACGCAGGCTCTGGGTAGGAGCAGAATGTCACGGGCGCAGTGGCAGTAGCAGGCCAGGCAGGAGCTGGTGGTGCTTGCACGCAGCGTTGGGAGTGAAGACGGGCCAGACAGCCCAGAGACAAAGTGCAGAGCCAGAAGTGAGTGGGTGCACTGTCACGAGGAAGAAGTCGGGGATGAGTCCCGGGTTTCTGGGAAGGGCCATAGGTGGGCGGACCTGTCCTTCCCGGGATGAGAAGATGAGGAAGGAGCCCCCTGTGGCCGGTCCCTAGACAGGGACAGCCAGCCGGTGGCCCTCACCCCTGCCGGGCCAGCTTCCCTCTTGACGGCCAGCTCACCTTGTGAACTCCGAGAGCTTTGTTTGTGTTCTGGCGGCTTCACCGAGTTGAGAACCCCCAGGGCCGGATCTTTGGAGAGTAGGAAGGGGTATGTGTGTAGATTTGAGAATTAGCCAGAGGTAGGCCACCACTGAGGCCAGAAAAGAGCAACGAGTTTTCAGAGTGTCTGAGAAGGGGGCTCATCCCTGCGGGGAGGTGCGCACCGTGACTAGAGGGCGTCTCTTGGGTTCTTTCCTTCCTGAGCATGTGCCGCTCTTCGTGGTGTCCAGGTCGGGGAGGACATGGCTGCTGAGCTCTGAGGTAGGAGGAGCTTTAGGGTGATAGGGAAAGGCTTCCTCCTTCGTCCCGCAGGCGGCCTGCAGACGGGATGCCCCCAGCCTGACCTGTGGCAGGGGCAGCTCTCCTGCCCCTCGTGGCCAGGCCTTGAGCGTCCTAGGAGAACAGCGGCCACCCAGCCAAGCCCAGGTCCCCGGGGACCTGGACAGGATGCGGACCAACCTCCTCGGCCTTCAGGTGCTATAGACAGAGATGGGGTGCCCCCCACCCAGACCAGTTTTGTGTCCAGGGTCCTGGGACCAGCACAGAAGGCCTGGACACTCACCCGGGCATCGCCACGGGCCCGATGGGTGCCTGGACAAGTCACCTCCTTCACACGAAACAGGGGTCAGACCCCAGCAAGGAGTCTCTGAGGACCAAGCTGTGTCCGCACAGAGGCGGTGTCTGCTCTGTGTGGAAACCTTCAGGGCTGATTGTATCTTCTCCCTCCTTGTGTTAGGAGAAAAGCAGCCTCCCAGACAGACAAGCCGGCTGATAAAAAGGAAGACGAAAGCCAAACGGTAAGCACACCCCACGGCCAGCCCACCCCGGCTTCCCCAGAGGTGTGAACAGACCAGGCCTGCGGGACACCGTGTTTGGACATACACGCGGTAGATACTCCGCTGGGTGATTTGTAGGAGGGCAGGGGGACAGGGGTGACAAGAGGGACAGGAGGGGGTGGTGCAGGGGGACAGGGCCTGTGGGCGCTCATGTCCGTCCCCGCTGCACCGGGTGGCAGGCCTGTGCTCACTGAGCATCTAGCAGACACTGCTCTGCTTTGGAGCGCGCAGCCTCGCAGGGAGGGCAGGTAAGAGGCAGAGAAGCAGGACCCGCCTGGGAGCTCCTTGAGGGAAAGGCCTGGAGGCTGGGGAGCTCAGAGGGGCCAGCAGACAGATCTCAAGGGACTCGGGGGGTTGGAGAGTACAATCGCAGTAGGCAGTGTCTGCTTGAAGACCAGGGCAGTTATTATTTTCAAATTATTTCTGTGCTTGAGTCCGTCGATTCCAGCAGGAGCCGCAGGTGAGCTGGGCAGAGGAACCCAGCGCTCTGGCTCTTGTCCTGAGGGGGTCCTGGAGCCTAGTCTAGCCACACAGATTCCAGGCTCCCGCCGTCACTAGGGTGGCTAACAACCCTTCCCACTGCGTT